ATGTGGACAAAAATATAAGCTAGTTATCTTTAATTATCTTTGCTATAGGTGAGTCAACCTTCTTGTTTCTTTATGTTTTATATACCATTTTGTAGCTCTTGAAATTCTCTATCGAATGATATATAATAGTTGGGGTTTTAGTTGACTATGATAGGAAAAGTCTTTTACGGAAGTCGCGATGGGTAGATCTTTTCATAGAGAAGCTATATAGGGAAAAATGGGTATTTTTGCAATAACTCAGGAACGACTTGGCCGATCCTTCTCATCTTCGCACTCGACCAAGATATTGTAAAGACTGAAATGTACAGAAAATTTCATCGTGATCGGACTCTCCTTTCGAAAGTTATCGTGTAAACGGCCGGCCGACCGGACATACTGACCGATTCTAGAGTGTATGAACTTTTTGAATACACAAAAAAGTAACACATTCAACTTTTAAATAATTCCAGATATAAATTGTTTTTAACAAATGTTTCTATCTGAAAGATATGTCGATAGTCAATCAACATATTTTTTCATTAATGCGTATTTCATTTTTCAATATGCATTAATAATTAACATGAGATTATTTCTATATTAAAGACGAAATTAACTAGATCAATTAATCCTGACAGGTCCACCTTAACTCCTTATCAATAAAAGAACGTTATCGCTGGTTGATATTCAATATATTTTTATATATCATAGATAGAGTGATTCAACAGGCTGAAATAATTATCGATTTACGCTACTCTAGTTATATATGCATAATAAATCCTAATTAGTAATAAAAGTGATGCAGTATCATAGGAGAATTTTTTAATTTCACTTTAACTACTAATGACAAATGAAAAAGTTGAACATATTATATAGTAATAAAGTCGGTTGATCATGAAAATCAATTAATATCTAAATGGTATTAAATGGTATCATTGTAGAATAATCATATTTGATGCGGTTAGGAATATTAATCATCTGTTGATTAATATGCGAAAATAATTGACTTTTATAAACAAGAAACGATATTAAGGAATGATATTTGATCCTTTGATTTTCCATATGGTACCATATGAAAAATATTTTTATACTAATAATAATGTATCACTATTTTTTATTTATCGATATTTGTCTTTTGTATTATTAGAATACGTTTTAAATAATATGAAAATAACAATCTTAACAGAATAGAAGTTGTTGATCTTTTTAAATAAAAGTAACCTGAAGACGTTTTTTCAATGTCTTATATCGATTAAGCATGATCATATATACTTTGAATTCGTTTATAATATAATGACCATGAATAATACTTAACTAATCTTAAATATATATATCTGAAAAAGATGATATATATAATGAGTTATTTAATTATGTAGACAATCAATTATTTAAACTGACTTAAATTATGAGTATATTTGAGAAAATATTTTAAAGATAAATTTAAGGAACTGAAATTGAATCTATCGTATTGACTGAGATCCTGATAAAAGTTTTGAATATAAATTCAATTTGTTTATAAGTGAAACTCTATTTGTTGATGGTGTTTTTGAAAATAATCCATTAAATAATATTCAATTTCGTTTATCATCTGTCTATAGAGTCTATATTACATTACGATATCGTCTTTCACCATATGGAAAAGAAAATTTTTCACTTGTAAAAAAACAAGAAAATGTCATTTCATTACTTTATCGTATTGAAGATATAATAAGTAAAAAAATCTAAGTAGAATAAAAAAACAAAAAAATCTTTTTTTTCTAAATAAACAAATATTTCTTCTTAAAAAAATGAATGTCATGAACATGGTGATTATCTAACTTATTGTATAGGAAATAAATCTGAATTACTTTATTTTATAAAACAAGATGGTGATATATATGAAAAAGTTTCTCATGATATTCAAAATAATTTATCTCAATGTGTACAACGTTTATTTCGTTAATTAACATATGTTGTACATAATGAATTAGATAAATATTTAATATAATTTACAAATCCCCAAAATGATGTTGAACATGATATTTATATTACATTTGATAATTAAATATTTCATTATTTAATAATTGAAAATAATCTTTTGTTTTTAGAATAAAATAGTTGAAAAAATGTAAAATTATTTTATTTACGTTGGATAAGATTATATAAGAATTCAAATAATTATAATAAAAAATCATTAGGTAATATTATTGCAACACTTTCATCAATCATTGATTTATTATGTAAATATTGTGTTAATGCTGCATTAACAATTCAAATGTTTTCACAAATATTTCATTATATAAATAGATGGTTATTTAATAGAATTATTTGTTTTCCAGAATTAAAATTATGTTGATATTTTTCGGGAGAAAAATTATCATTACGTTTAAAATCGATTAGTAATTGGGCACAAAGATAACGTTTAGAATTATCATCTGATTATCATTTAACAAAAGTTAATCAAATTTGTTTATTATTACAAAGTCTGAAACGTTATGTACATGATGTACAACAATTAATATAAAATACGTGTAATACATTTAAACTTAATTCATTATTAGTCAAGCGTAAGTGAGAAAGCTTTTCAGTTTAATCTTCTAGGGATTTAAATATCATATATGATAAAGCTGCATTAATCTTAGAGAGGAAGGTTTTATACACAGATTTATTATGTTCGAGAGCTTATCTATTCACTAGGAGAAAGACAATTATTATGTATGTATGAACGACAGTGCGAACTTCTTCCTTACAACTAAAATTTAATCAATGTAAATTTTATAGGAAATTGCTGAGAAGGTTTTCAAAGAGAAAAATAATTTGATTAATTTAAAGATCATCTTTTAGGTTTAATTCTATCAATGATAAATATGAATGAACTTTCAAGATGTTCTTTCGATTCGTTTCATAGTAATTAAGTTTTTGTGACTAAATTCTGAGTACTCTGAGAAATAATGCTGATGATAGAATAAAAAGCTTTTAATACTTATTTGAAGGTGTTGATTGATTAATGAAATCTTTCATCGATATCGATAATTCTTCAGTCTCTTCTTGGCAATTATCTTAATAAATTGTTCTGTATTATTTCGTCTCTTATGTAATCAATACTGATCAAGGATTCTTCTATTGTTCTAATATGAGAATGATACATAGGAGAAGATAACATTCTATTTATACTTCCGTTAGCTTGAATACTTTATTCATTTAATTTCTTCCGTCTTTTATAATTTGAGATAGATTCAAATAAATGTTTTATTTAGTCTTCTGGCTGCTGCTTATAAACATGTGGATTAAAATTTACATCGCGAAGGTACAATTGTTTAATTAGTTGAAGAACCTGAATTAAATTTACCATTTCTATTACCTGAAGATGGTTATACATGTGAAAATATACGAGGTATTATACCATAACAATTATTTGAATTTATTGAACCAATGAGTCGTGCATCTTTATGTCATTTATTTACCAATCAACATAGTCTTGGAATGTGGACTGAATTTATGCAAATACAAAATGTAATTTAAAATATTTTCAATTTTTTATCATCATGAAATTTTTATTTTGTCTGATTTAGAATGAAAGTGGACATAATAATAATGATGAAAATAACAATGTAGAAACTGTAACATTAAATAAAAAAGGAAATAGTCTTGGCTTAAGTATTGTTGCAGTAAAAGTAAGATTAACGAGAAAGTTTTATTTGAATTAATTTTTTCTGTGATTGTCAAGGATGAATCTCAACAATTTCAATGAATTTATATCAAAGCTATTGTACCAGGTGGTACAGCTGAAGATGATGAACGTCTTCAAGCTGGTGATCAAATATTTTCGGTTGATAAAATTATCATCTAATAGAATTAACCAAAATATTTTGAGAAACTTTTAATAAGTAGTTATCAATTTCTACTCTTTCTATCAAAATAAACAGCCCAACAGATCAATTAATCATATATTTTCAAAAAAAAAATAATCAGAAAAAAGAAACGAAAATCTCGTAAATAGACTTCTAATACAAAGAACGAAAAAAAAAGATCTTTTTTTCAGATGATAAATATCGAAATAATAATCAGAAAAAAGTCCCATAGATTTTTCCAATAATTTACTATGTACACGGTTGGAAAAAATATTATTCCAGGGGGGTAACGCTATAATTTCAAATAGGTGATATGATGAATTTTATACCAAATGAAAGCCCGTGAAAAATGGGATTTATCGATGCTAA